TCTTGAAAGAAGAAAATTCTGCTAGCGAAGGAAATCACTGAAGTTTACCAGGCTGGAAACTTTAGGGATTCAAGATCCATTTCTAAGTGGTTCCAATTCTGACTTGACCTCTACGCATGATTTCAACCTCTGCTTCTAGGACCTATCGACTGAAATAGTTTTTGGTCTCTCACTCCTGAGGTATTTGACTTTAAAAAAATGAAAAGAGAATGATTTTCAGAAGACAACTACTGTTTCTGTAATGCTTCTGTAAATTAAACCATTTAAATTAAAAACCTAAAAATGAAGCCACCTAAAACTGAGAGTTGTGGAAATGTTAACCAAATCATCTGTAATCTGTAAGGCTCTCCCTTTGTATACAGACTCAGATGTTTTAAGAAGTAAATAGAGGGTGAAATGAGGATGGAGCGGGATTTTTCCACATGAGGCTATTTCTTCTTTGTAGGGACTAGGGGAGTGTAAAGTTCCCTGAGAAGCCCTATGACATTTCAGAGAAAGAGGCAGTTTCCCAGAAATCCTGTGAATATCCTGACCTTCGCAGCACTAGGATTTCTACATCACTCCACACCCAATGGCCAACAGTGTAACGCAAACCCTGGTCGGCCCCGGCAGCGTCCACTCTGACCTACTCGGCCATCACCACAGTTATCCTGGAGGATCAGCACTCAGCATCTGGGTTATTCCCACTGCACAACAAGTCCTGTGTGTCCACACTGACCCTCCATCCACCCATTCTCGTTAGTAGCACTTCTAGAGACGCGGCACATCCCACAGCCAATACCAAACCCCAAATGAAAGGCGGGGAACTCGCCCAGTTCTGTAGGTGCCCTGTCAGCACACAAAGGGTTCAGCCAACAGCCTCCCTGCAAGGCTGATGCAAATTAAAATGGCCCCTAAATTCCAACTGTATCCAGCCATGTAACCTATTTTCAAAAAGAAGGAGCAGTATTTGGGGTGCTACTCAGCCAAGAATTGTAATTAACCCCATGTTGCACACATAACCCTGATGACAAAGCTCGGTACTTCTGTCCCGTGTAGTCCTTTGCTCTGGTTTAGGAACAAAAGCACAAAATCTTAAACTGAGCAGGTGGTAGAAGACACAGCATAATGCATTTTTATGGACCTTCCATATGTCCTTTCCAATATGCAGTGAGATAAATTCTACCTTCACTTACATTCACGCAGTCCCACTCAAAACCTCACATTTTAGTACCACAGCTAAACTAGTCTGTGAAAATCATGCTGTTCAGGATGCAACCATTTTTTTAAATTAGAGCAAAACAAAACAAAACCTCAAAGGCCTGTCTAGGCATCACAAATTTGTGCCAATTCAACCATATATGCCCTGAGCCACCTTGCCAAACTACATAGAGATTTGTATTCCTAATGGCTTTTTTCTTTATCCCAGTTTCTCCAGTCCTAAAATAATGTTAGTGACACATGCCTACATTTCCCAAGTTGTGACATGAAGCTTAATTCATTCAGTTCTCTCCAATGCCAGAAAACACTTAGAGATGAAGGGGACCCACAGGGAAACACTGACCAGCGTGTTTGGGTATTTCTTTGAGCAAAATGGACTTTTAATATTATTCCAAAATGAACACACATGAAAGGTTTGTTCAGACTTCTGTATTTCTAATAATGTTCTCTCAGGAATGTCAAAGCTTAAAATCTAAGAAATAACTGCTCTCTAAGTGCATGCTAATGGCTTGCTCCGCAGATGGAAAATAAAAAACTTATGTTTTCGCGTAAGCACAGGGTTGACACTGGTTTATTTCTTTCAAAAATACTCACAAAAGCCAGGATTTCTCTGTATATATGTGACCTTGATTCCTAGATGGCACATGGGCTACTTAGAGATCATGTTACTAAGTTATTTGCAGTTAAAGGGGAAAAAAAGGCTAAAATTAATGGGTCACTGGGTATTTTCTTCTGAGAACTTAACTACTTAACAGTAAGAAAAAAACAGTTTACAGCCAGGTGGCTTGAGGGGATATTTTGTTGAACACTGATTAAAAATAATTTCTTCTAAATGAGACCTGACCACAAAATGGGACCATTAACGAGCAGGGACATTCTCACCAGAAAGGAAACTACGCTTGATCAACTCCTGCACCGCCCACAAACCCCAGGTCTTTTTCTCTCTCACATACACTTTCTTTTGCTTCCCTCCACTTCCCCCCCCCCAACCTTTTTTTCCTCTGCCGTTTTCTTGCTCTTAATAGCAGGGTAAATAAGCAGCAAGTGATGCTGAAATGTTTTCGGCCAAAAACAGAGGCCAAACTCCTCTGAGAAAACATTTGGCCTCTGTGGTTTTGTAATATGTTCCAGAACACTGAGTTCACTGAAGAACATTGTGAAAAACTCCCATCGGCTGGAGTGATGCTGGGGAATGTTACTGTATCCCAACTTCCAATTGGTCCATTTCCTGCAGGCCTTGTTAAAAAAAAAAAAAAAAAAAAAAAAAAAAAAAAAAAAAAAAAAAAAAAAAAAAAAAAAAAAAAAAAAAAAAAAAAAATAGTGCTATGTGGGAGTTAAAACAAGTTCTCATGGGAAAAATGAATGGCAAGAAATTCTAGCTTTAAAAGAAACAGCTAATCTGCTAGTTTGATTGTTCTTCAAAACTTACAATGAACCAATAATCCTAATTAAAACCACTTGGCCTAGTTCTCTAAAGCATCATAGCTTTTTCTATGCTTCGTTTGTACACACCATAGACTATTAGTTTTTTTCTAGTGCTCACTAACAAAGTGCTGACTTTGTTGGGATGGCTGAGCTAATTTCGTGAACTCAGTGTGAAACCTTAGCTAAACAAAATTGTGGTAATTTTCCTTAATTTGTAAAAGTGATTGGAGTGCAAACAAAATTTTCCTCTTGGGTCAATCCTATAATTTTCAATTAACTAAAACTAATCGGCAGGCGTGTACTGAACCTGCATTTTGTTTAAAGGGCTGGAAGGCACTTCTGAAGGTCAGGATGCATTAATTGTTTTCATTTTAGTTTCATTTAGTCCTTTTTAAAAAGCCACATTTAAGTTCAGGCTGCCTCTAAAAGGAAAATGCAAATTGTGTAAGGTAGGATTTAAGTCAAAATAGCTTTTCCGTTATCTATTGTAACTCCATAAGTAACTGCATAAGTAAGAGAATTGTCCATGAACTGCATCACCTTTGATTTTATCATTATTGTTTAGTATTTCATAACTTTCATTTCTTGTATTAAAAATAATGTGTTTTAAACACCAACCTGAAAATCCATATATGGAATCACTCTCCCTACTGGGACACCTGATTTCCACACTCAGCCATCTGCTTCTGGGTAGATAAGCTAAACTGCTGCCCTCCTTTTTACTGGAAAAGGTAATTAATGATGATCTGAAAGCAACACCAAAACGAGTCGAAGCCATTTTTACATTTAAATCCCCCCAAAAATCATAAAAAATTTCTCTGCAAAGTCGAGGGGTGCAAGTTTCTCCCCTTTCTTCTCCTTCCACATGCACACCTGCCATTTCACCAGGCCCAGGAGCACTCACCCCAGTGAGGTGACAAAAAGCAGGACAGCACAACTTACTGCAAGTAAGAAAGCGAGGAGGGAAAGGTTTCATGGTCAGACAGTCCAGAGTTCTGGCCCCCACTGTCACATGTTACATGTCACACACCACCAATTTGCACCAGCAGCAATCTGACCCTTGGCTTTTTCTTTTGTTCCAACACTGTTCAAACTATGAATAACTTTTTTGATATGGTGTGTATTGTCCAATATATGGATTTCCCACACACTGTTGAAACCATAATGCTCCCAAATAAACACACACAGCCTCCACAAGTGCATGCTGCTTGGCCAGCAAGGCAACACATGAACATTCTAAGAGCCAGTTTAAAGAAACCCAATGCGTAATCCCAGCTGGGGGAGAGGGTGTTTGAAAAAGACAACAGAGCTTTTATAAGGCACCTTTGTTCAACTTGCTTAGCGTAAAGAAAATTCAAATGAGAGCTTTGCTGCCCAGCTGGAGCACAGAATTTTCTCCTCTGCCTCAAGTCCCTGTGTATAAATTGACAGCTGAAGCAATATATGTGCCCAGTGGAATTCAGAATGCCTCATAGTAACAAGTATTTATGATATATCTTGTTCTTAAAGTTTCTGGGAAAATCAAGGACGAGGAAGCGAACTGCACTGGATTGTGCTGAACCACAGTGCAGGCAAACAATTACAGCAGTAGCCCTGTCTGCATATGTGAACAACAAGAACATCAAAACCTGGACAAAGTCATTAATCCTTGTAGCATGCACACCTTCTGAGGAATCACTGACACACACTCTTTTTTAAAAGTTAGGTTGCTACTTGATTTTTTCTCAGGCCATTCTTACAACTGCTGAGAGTGGTTTAACACTGAAAGCATCTGCAATGTCCTAATGTGGGGGTTTGCTTAATAATTCTTCAGTCATTCAACTTAGTGGTCTCAAGACCACCCCAAAACACACTGCAAGTCACTGTGTCTGCAGCATTGGCTGGTATAAGAGCTACTTAACCTCCCTGGAAGTCAGAGAAAAGTGAGTGTGTTCTGGTGAGATGGGCAGGCCAATAGGCACCTGCTTTGAACACTTCCAGTACCTGCTGGACAGCACAAGATGAAGACTTTAGCAGGATTCCTGTCGGAAGACAGGTTTGTGATTGCACTAGTGTGTGTGGCTCTTTGTGCTTGCACTCTTCCTCTTTTTAAGTACAAAAGTATCTGTTTCCTTCCATCCTCCCCCCTCCTGGGTAAAGAGTTGCCCCATTGCAAGGAAAAGCAAGCAAACAAAAATGCCACACCGGTATGTTTCCAGACTCATCCCCATAGTCACCCATTTCTGAATCCAACCTCAAAGTGGAGCCTTCAGTGACATCCTCAGACAAAATAATAAAATGATGAAAGCAGAAGTGTGATACATACCCTAAAAAGTGTGATACATTGCCTGCCCTCTTTCTCCACCTTGTATCTAGTACTACTAAAGCATCCTTACCTGTGTAAATGAATCTTCCAGGCGTTCCCTTACAAAACTGCTTAGACTTGTAGGACAATGTGACTTCTACAACCCCTGGGATATGTCGGGGAGGCGTCTGTACACGGATGGCATGTGGAGTAATCAGCTAGAGAAAACATTGAGAAGGGAGAAGAAAGAGAAAGAAAGCACTGTTAGACGCTGAACACTTCTTTAATAACAGTTTCCTCTCAGATCACAGTAAACAAGCTTTGAAACATGTAATTAACCTGTCAGTGTTTGAATACAATCTTGATGTAACCCACACAAAAGCCAGTGACTACAATATTTACAGGCATTCTCTTCCTCAGCCATAACAATGTTATTTCTGTTCTCACACATGGCAGGCACTTGCTTCCTGGTACAAGCATTAGTCCTGGCTTAATGCAATAACTTCAGTCACAGCAGCAGGATGCCTGTATTTGCTCAGGTGAACACTGAGGTCATGACGGTGCCCAACAAACCTGACTGATAAACGACACGTGGTTACACGTGTGAACACGGCACGACACAAGCCCAGGCTGAGATTCACTGCACAGCCCAAGCCCAGGGTTTTGAATTCTGGACTGGATTTAAGACATAGTCTCTGGAAGTAATAATAGAGCCATCCAGGAGTTCACTAATTCATGGCAGGTTAACTCAAATCTCTCAGACAAGAACAGTAAAAAGAGATGCATAAAAAAGGTGACAAGACTGTGTCCAGCAACAAGGATACAGCTCTGGCACAATCTCCTTCTCTGACTGTGGCACATGAACACACCTCCAAAGAGGCAAACAAGACTAAGGTCATAACCCACCTTGACAGTGAGCAAAGCCATGAACACCCCATCTAGACAGCTCTTAATTGAATCATGTGCTGGATTAAGGAATAAATTTCAATAGATTTTTTAAATAAAAAGCTAATTTTAATCTTGTTTTACTAGAAATTAAATGTTTCAGCATTGTTGTAAGGTCCTACCAAAAACCAGACTTTTAACCACTTCTTTGTTTAGGGCACAGGACTAAAAAAAAGCACAGAAGGAGAGTAATATTTGTCTGAGAGCCATCTGTGCTACGGAGGGAAATGGCATACACAGTAGGAAGCTCTCCATATTTAAAATAAGAAAATTATTTTTAAATCAAGCTGAACATTAAAACCAAAACTACCACCATCAAATGCTCCAAAAGTTGTTTAGATCTGTAGAAGTCAGAAGCCACATGTCATATTAGAAATTATCATGGAAGGATTAATGTCTTATTGTTTGTGAGCTCCAAAGAACATGTTTTAAGGCTCTGCTTCAAAATTTAGATTTTGTGATTCAGAAACTTATTTGTTTTTAAAAGAAATTTGCCTTTTTTTTCTAAATTACTCACTCTACCAACTGGGTTAAAAAAAAAAAAAAAGTTCCAAAACTAAAATGGAAACAAAACCAAAAACCAAACTTCCAAGGAATGCTTTTACTTGAACTGAGTTGTCTTACAGCTGGGCTGACCTAAGCCTAAAACTCCAAGCCAGTTCTCTCCATGCCCTCAAAGTCAGCAGAGGCAGAAAGCTCTGCCAAGCAGCAATTGATTTCTAGTGCTTTAGACACCTCTCACTCATGTTGGGATAAGCCACACTCTGGAAGCATCTACCTTTCTCCAACGAACCAAGATGTCAAGTTTAGACCAGATGTTTAAATGTAGGCAGCCAAACAAAACTGAGATAAATCCCATCCTCAAGTGGTTCTAGTTAACTGGGTGAACTGGCAAGACGAGAAAAGTTTTATGGCATTTTTAGGGAAAAAATATTTGTAAAAACAGCCAGGGACTTCATTAGAAAAGGTTAAAATGCTCATCTTACTACATCAGCATGAGCTTTCTATCCCTCCCCCCCATTCTGGCATGAGCTATACAGGCAGCTTCTGGTTGTATCTTTGAATTTCCCAGCATTTACTGGTCTGTCACCACTTTAATGTTCCTTAAACATAATTTGTGGCATTTTCCAATACTCATCTTCCCTGGTTCCCAAGAAATGTCTGACCTATTTATGGTCCATTGTTACAGAGAGCTGGGGAGAGTTAGGCAAGTTTCCTGGTTTGTTCTCCACAAACAGTTTGGTTTTCCTTTGTGCTCTGAAGTAAATAAGTTTAACTATGTTTAAAACCACAAATATACAATAATGTCGCCCACACATTCCCAAAGGGTGAACATTATGTCTGAAGTCCTATGGTTTAGGATGCTCAGGATGTATTTTATTCCTCTCTTCTCTAGAACTAAAGCCTGGGAGGTACACACACAGAGGGGAACTGGTCAGCTTGGTTACGTACCAGGAGTTCCCTATACTGCTGTCATATCAAGAAATTGTCTTTAAGGGACAAACAATATTCCCTTATGAATTGAAACCTGCCTCGTGAAACCCACCTTCAGTCTCAAACTGATCCACAGAGCTGCCAGGATCTGTGCTATGGACTGGGACCAGCTTTCCAAATTGCCCTGGCCCTGTTGTGCAATCCCTGTGACCCAACTGGTGCTGAACAGCTCTGGGCACTCCAGACCCACCCACGGCAAAAGTAAATCTACCCCTGACTTCAGTAACTCCAGGATTATGGAATGCTTTCCTGTCTACATTGTCAACCTGTGGTCTTACACTGGGAACTCGTTCCACCTTTCCCTACTATCCTTTCACACTTCAAGACATAATCTGAGTCATATTTTCAAGTAAAGCATCTGGAAGGGGTGAGCTACTGCAATGCAGGGATATTAAAAATAAAGACACAACTTGTGGAAGTCTCTGAGCCCCAAACAATTGGAGACTGGTAGAAAGTTTTGGTGAAGCATCACAATATGCTCCCCCCATTTTTTTCACAGACATCTGTTTCCTTGCCCAATGCCAAACACAAGATACTGAGTGAGATGAACCTCCTTGAGTGACCCAGCATGGCCATTTGTGTGTTCTCACTTCACCTGGGAACTCTTGGGGGATTAACAACATCAAAACAACCATAGCAAGACATGTCAAGAACAAAGAATTCTTAAATATTAGTTATGTACATTTATGAATACATTTTTAAAATGTAAATCTTGAGCAAGGTATTAACCTGTGATTTGGACATGAACCCACCAGCCAAAATCCCAGATCCATCTTCCTCCGCCATTCCAGCATTTAGCAAAGTGAGAAACGGAGCTGGACATAAAGCTACCTGGCAACTGCATTAGATGTTTGGTATGAATTCCTACATATCATCTGGGACAGGCAGTGGGTTACATTAAAACCTGAGTTGGAGATCTTCAGAATGGTGGGAGGTGCATGTCCTTCAAAATCCAAAACACATTTGGGTTGAGTGTGTACAACAAGCCTCTTTCTGTGGTTTACTAATATATTCTAGACATTCTTGTGTGATACAGCATCATTTCACACTCTCCAGAGTGCCAGGTTACTTTCTTTTTTTAAAAGTGACATTTTATAAGGAGATGTCATTAATCTGAGTCACTAGTTTATTTTTGCATGCTTGAGCTCTGGTTTGTGGTTAGGGAAATGGTGACAATCAGTCATAAATTTGACTTTGACTCTGTGTGAAGAGGACCATTAGGACAGGAATGAAGAAAAATCCCACCAACTGAAGGTAATGACAGCTTTCAGTGAGGACAGAACCCTTGAGGTGCCTATATTTTAAAAAACAACCAATAACTTTGCATGCCTCAGCTCTGGGTATCCAGATGCTGCTTAATAAGCCTTGGTTTGCAAAAAGAGGGTGCCTACTCATTTTTTAAAAATGAGTCAGAGCTCCAAAATAAGCACTCAAAACCAGAGACTTCCAAAATCAATAACAAACATAAAAAGCAAAATAAAAAAACTATGTCACAGATTTTGATTCAGCAGCAGTAAAATAACCTAAAAAAACAACAAACCACCAGACCAAAAAATAATCCTCTGTTTTTGTGCTGTACAAAGGTAAAAAAAAAAAATGGTTCAGTGCTTCATCTTTTCTTAATATAAAAGAAAAAGAAGTTGTTTCCAGCTGACTCTGTACAGCTGGAGGAATGTTCTTGGCAGGAAAATGTTTGAAGAAATAGTTCATTTTAAGCAAATACTGCGGAATATTTATAAGAAACTAATTTTGTCTTCACAATCGTGTATTTGCCCTGAAACTTGACTCTTGGATTTTCAGCACCCCATAAGAGAGAGAAGCAACAGAGGATTCTTATCAGCAGCTCCTATTTGGAATATTTGCAATAACGCACAGACTCAGAACCTGGGCTAAAACCTCCAAATAACAGCTCTGTCTGTCTGTGGACTGGACAAACAGACAGGCAGAGTCTGTCTGGCAAACAGAGTGTTTGCAGGGAGTTGTCTGTCCAGAGTCAGCATGTGCACACGATATACCAACGCTGTTTGTTTGTCGGTTACGAAAGTCCCTTGGAAAAAAAAGGCATTAGGTGGCCCATTTTGCTGAATTCTAAAAATATCAAGGGCTCTTAAAGTAATTTTCATAAAGTAATATGGGAGGTATGGATTAATTGAACCTACTGGCTTAGGGTATCTGCATTTCTGCACAAAATTAATGTGACAAATTAAGTTTTTATTTAGTTCTCCCTGGCTGAGAAAGGTTGCAATTATGTTAGAGTGTTTACAGCTAAAATATATGTTTAAATAATAAATACGTGTTTCAGAAACCATTTTAAACCTCCTTTTTTTTAACACAGTCAACTCCATTTCAAGCATATAAATATTTCAATTACAAAACTTGAATACATGTAAAATAAATTAAAAATATATTATTTACATTTCAAATTATTTATAACATATGCTGCTTGACAGCAACAAACTCACTCTTAAGACGAACAACTTTTTGCTTTTTTTTTGCTTTTAACTCTGCTTCTGAACTGTGGTAGGATTTATATTTTAAATATCCATGCAGCTCAGGTATTTACATGGATTTTGCCATAATAAAATCTCAGTAATATAGGACCTTTACGATAATTATCTTCACAGCACCTCTCCAAAGAAGGTGACTAATCTTATTACTGTGTTAGAGAAAGGGAATTGAACTTTAAGCAGATTATGTGATTTGCCCAAGGTCCCATGAAAAGTCTGTAGCAAAATGATGCTTAATTTAAATATTAGACTTCATCCCCCAAACCATCTGCAATTATAACTGGAAGTGAAGCTAGAAAAATCCATGTGAAAATACCCTGCAAGACTCACTCTTTTTCTTTAGTTTCTGCCTATCTGGTTTTGTTTGGGATTTTCTGCAGCTCCGTTAAAATTATGTTTTCTTTGGATTCATAAAACAACAGGATGAACTTTAAAATTCATCCAGAATTCAATGACAAAATAACCTGGCCAGGTTTGCTCAAAACTGGGCCTGACTGGCAACTCAGGATAAACCTGCTCCAAGTTTAAAATGGACTGAAATTCAGAGGATTGACAGTTCAATTTTATACTCTATTAAAATAAAACAAAAATACTCTTCATGGGTACTGAAAATGCTCTAGACATTTTTAGAAATGGGAAGGCAAATGAAAGAACTTATTTTGTACTTCATAGGTGGCTTGTATGTGTAATTTGAATTATTTATAGATCACTATTATTTAGGGATCACTCAGACAGCTCATGCATTTCTGCACTTGTTTATCATGTTTGTCTGCTTCTTTTAGAAAGAGTTTCTTTTCCCCTATAGGATTTTCTACTCCTCCCATAGGTTATGAAACGAGGAGCAATTCTGTAAGGGAGAGACAGTGACACATTTTTCACTCAACACCAGCTTGCAGCCCCTTACAGCATTCACAGCCAAAGGACAGGCTTTGGTCCGGACCCCCTCTAATATTATTAATTTTAAGACAAGGCCTTGCAAACCATCAGCAACAATGTTTTGACCAGCACTCGCTCTCCTGAGATTAGAAATTGCCAATTAATGGCTTTTTTTGATAAATAGAATCAAGATTTATAATGAAAGATCCAACTCTGCAGTACCAAAATCAGAGCACTTTCCTCCCAGCCTCTTCACCTTTCCCTGTTAAACGTCTGTAGACATAATGACTTCGATACTAACACACAAAATGCTTACACTGGACCCAGGGGGCACTTTCATGATCACATAAGGGCTTCAGAATAGGGCTCATTTACTGTATCTCCTTTTCTGGAATGCCCTTTCATCCACACTCGTCCTCAAGTGGAAGGATGAGAGAGGGAGAGAGAACAGTGAAGCCCATGAAGGACATTAGAGAATACTCTTCACGTGGAAAAAACGCTGCCATATGTGCGATGGAATCAGTAGGGGGAATGTGCTGGATATGAATTAAGCTCTACTGTTGATCTAATAGTTACTGGACAGGAGGTGAAGCATCACAAGATCCTCTCATTACTGAGAAGCATTGTACAGATACTTTAGAGAGGCTGGTCTGTCTGTTAGCATGTTTATTTCAGAATTAAAATAACAAAACCAACAATTTCTTGTTAAACCTCCAAAATGCTTTTGAAGAGCCACAAATGCAAAATGTAAACCTTTCCTTGGAGCTGCCTCCCTGTGCCAGTGGGGAGCTCTGCCATGGTTTCTATGGCCCTGCACACTGGATGGGGCCATTGGGGTGATGCTGCCTGGGTTTTAACTTTTCACAGGCTTTTGGGGAATATCAGACTCTGTGATTAATTATGTGCAGGGAGAAGAGAGGATTTAAGGAACTGGGAGAAACAGCAACAGCAAAAAAGTAGGTAAGAAGCAAAAAAAAAGTTATTATGAAACTACAGGGGCCCCTGGTAGGTATGATGAGTCCACTGTGGATATAGCACAGTGTATTTGGTTGCAATTATGATCAAGCATCCACATTTTAAGGGTAGGCTATTCAGAGGCTTTATTTCTGCAGTCTCCACGTCACTGAGCTGTAGCTGCAAGCAGCCAATTTCCCTGGAAAGCAGGATCACCTAAATGTTTGTTTCCTGTGGGCCCTTAGCTATTGTAGTGCTAAATGCAGAATTATTCACACAGGCATTTATCCTTCCCTTTTCTTGTAATAAAATCCACTGAGCTAAATTCTGGGCCAGCGAGAGGAGATGCAAATCCCCTGGCTATAATGGGTTTCTGCCACAGGTAAATTTGACTAATTATTTTCATAAACCTGAATGAGGAAAGGATTCATGTCTCAACATTTGTTGCTGATTTAGCATGTGGCATAGAGAAAGGACAGGCTGGCTGTAAGCGAGACAAAGCTATTAGACATTACCGTTCAGACAACACCTACCTCACTCCAAACCAGCATGGTGCCGAATATGACCTGTAACCCATCAAAGAAATTGTCTCCTATGATGATGACAGTGGCACCTCCTGTAGTCCATCCTTCACTTGGACTGATGGCTTTGATACATGGTGTAGCTGCTTTTCAACACACATGAAAAAGAGAAGTATTCTGCTGTTAGAACCGGATTTTAATGATAGAAGACGTGAGAAAAATAAAATAAAAGGAGCTTTCATTTCCCCCCTTCCTAACAAAAAGATTTCAGCAATCACGTTCTTTCTAGTACATGTGCATGACCTCAAACTATATCTTTGGAAGTATTTTTTTCTCAATTAATTTCTGTTTGGTTTTATTATCTGCATCGAAAAAAAATTTTTTTAATCCTACATTAACAAAAAAATCCCAGCATGATGGGCAGAGACCAATTGGAAATCAGGACAAATCTCTTTTTTTTATTCTATATGAAATGTGCATGACCTGAGATCATAAAACAATCACTGGTAAGTCTGCTTTGTTATCCATCAGAACTCAAATTCATCAAGGAAACTCCCAAAAATATTATGGAAAATATTGGCTAAATAATAAAGGGTGTAACCCTCAGCATTTCTTCAACTATTCTGAAATCAGATCCATGTTGTTTGAGTATTAAAGCATTCTGCCATGATTAATGCTTTGGCTATTACAAAAAAAAAAACCAAACCAAACCCCACAGCCCTGCCATACAGTCATTCCAGTTGCATTGCATCTACAGGATAAATGAGAGGTGCTGCTCAGAGCAGCAACCTTACATCTTGCAGTAAAAGCTTCTAGTTTAAGATGATGTCAGCAGAAGCAGGCTCAGCTCAAATACTGGTGGGCTGGGGCAACATAAACACTCACATACTGATTTGCCTTCTCTGCAGGAATGGGGTAACTCAGAATTTAATTGTCCCGAAGCAACAGGAATAACATAACTTGAGTTAGGCAAAAAGCCCTGGCTAACTTTTTGCTGTGGAGTCTCAGAGTGGTCACAGAGGTTGATGAAAAGAAGCCACTCCACCCCAAACACCACCAACTTCTCCTTGCCCATATAGCATGAGATGAGAATATCACACCACACCATGAGGTAACATTTAAGTAAAGAAGGTACTGCAGCAATTTTATTAGTCATGGAAAACAGATTCAAGGAGCAGCCTAACATCACCAGTCAACATCAGCATTGGAAAGAAAGATTCTTTCCTTTAGATAAGAACCCAGGCCTGAGCAGAGGGAAGAGGCTGGCTGCACTGTGAACTCATGGAGAGCTGCCATTGCCTATTCTGATTCTGCAGTGTCAACCAGCAGAACTTCATTAGCTGAAAATATATGTATGTATACATATATATGCATATATACCTCTCCTTTTAGGGTTGCTGGCATTTGGCTGTGAGTTGCTGCTTGGTGGGAAGGCTGGCTGAGCTGCTAATTTTGTTTGTGACTTGGAGTATTTGATGACGTTCTCAAGGAAGAGCACCCAGGCACTTCATCCTAGTAAGGATTTACTAGGAAGATAGGAGTGTGAAAGCCACCCACATGTTAGCACCATGCAGGATAACACCCTTGCACCCATGAGTTACTTAATGTGGCTGTGTGGTGAATTACTTAATGAGGCACAGCCCCTGTCCTAAATTCTTCTAATTGTAAAGACAGAAAATTAACTCATTCACAGAAGCCTAATTTAAAATGCTCCAGACATAAAGCGCTAAAGAGACCCTGTGCATCTTTATGATTATTTAGTGAAGTTCTGGTTGGTTGGAGCTAATTGCAAGAGCCAGTGTGGCTGCTGAGAAGCTCCTTCCTCCCAGCCCCCGGGCAGGGCGGGCAGGCACGGAGCTGGGAAGCAGGAGGGAGCTGGAAAGGGAGCTGTTGAGTCACCCTTAGCAGTGAATGTTTCTGTGGACACTGCTGCACTCTCAGCACTGGGGATGGAAGGCATGTATGGGGAGCAAACAGACCCTGTCCCTACCTACGAGAGGTTGTAAGTGTCAGGCACAAACTTTCCACTACTTAAGCTGATGGGGATGCCAGCTCCAGTGAAAAACACAAACAGGCAGAAAAAAAATCATTACCCTACCCCAATCTTGGCAGAACACAGCCATTAACTTTTACATGAGCTAACAAAAGAAACATCCCAACATCACCGTCGTGAAAATGTAGCGCGCGCACAGAAGTAACTTCAATATGTTTAATTTGGATCCAAGTTACTTGCATAAAACTGTGCATAAAAGCCATTGCAATGTCCAAAAGCAAATGCTTTCCCTTCAGCCAAGCTCACAGCAGCGGATTTACAGTGAAAGCAGCTTTTCAAAATGCCATCTAGCCCTTTCACAGGATCAAACTTTTCCTTAAATAAAAATTAAAAGCACTTCCAAATTACACCCTTTCCAGTATTCCGAGTTGATTGTGGACACAAACCCCCCACAATAAAACCCAAAGATAATCAGTTTCCCATGTGTCAGAGAACAAGCTACTTTTCTTAAAGACTACAAGCAACATTTTTTTCCTAAATACCAGTGAATAAAAACTATTTGAGACCATAAGCCATTAACAGAAAACATATGCAGGCTTTGCTAGAAGGGTTGTCAAGCACTGGAAGAGGCTGCCCAGGGAAGTGGCTGAATCACCATCCCTGGGGGTATTTAAAAGCAGAGTAGATGTGGCACTTGGGGACATGGTTTAGTGATGGGCTTGGCAGTGCTGGGTTTACAGTTGGACTCATTGATCTTAGAGCTCTTTTCCAAAGTAAATGATTCTACAACTCAAAATTATAATTCAATTCATCTTTAAAAGAAATGCAAGATACTGCTGTGCAGTTTTAAGTCCCCACTGAAGTTCTTTCTATTTACCTTGTGATGTTCTTTGCAGTACCTGCATTGCACTCAGGGGTACAAGGTGCTGCACTGTCTGTTCTCACATGTATTTACTTCCTATCAAATACATGCCAAGTCTCATCCATGGCAGCTGGGGGGACTTGGGCAGACACTCAGGTCTCTGAGCTGAACTGGTACTGCAAGTTGTTCACTGGGACACTCTCACCCTCAAAGTCAATGTGACCAATCACACGTGTAACCTCATTTAAATATGTAGAAATTGTGCTGAATCAGTGCCTCATCAACACTGCTGGCAATAGCCCAAGACATCTCCTCTGAGGATGGAAAGGCAGGACTTGGTGGTTTAATAAGCAGAGCAGGATGGTGCCCTTTGCAGGCACAGAATGAGACGGAGCGAGGGTACTGTGCGTTCCCAAAAGATTTCAGGGCATTATTTTCCCATATCACAAAAACCAGTGGGACCTCCCAACTTTCCCCACACAGCTTCTCTTATTTTACAATGCAAGTGTCTGTACAGATTGGAAGGGCTGCAGGAAGGTGCTGCCCTGCCAGGGATGCAGCACTCCAGGGCTGCATCCCAAGGAAGCCTGAGGAGACGTGCTGAGGGAGGCATCCAGACTGCTACCTGTTTTTGAAGGCACAAAATATGTTTATACAATGACATATTTGCAACAGCCAGTGTCATTCAGGACATTGGTCTTACTAAAACTTTGCCCTTCCCAAGCCCTTTGCTTGGAGCACCAAGGAGAATGGAAGAATTGGGTCCCATTTACAGCATCATCACAGGTAATGCTGGGAGGGGGGCAAGGCAATGACCTCAGCTCTATTTATGCCCCTGGTACAAATGTCTGGCCAGTTCAGCCCCTCAGCTCCTCATACTTCTTCTGTTAATCATTTGGCAACTTCCAAAGTGCCGTCTGGAAGGTGTTTACTTCTGTGCAACCCTAGAAAAACAGAGCTAGGCAGAATAATCTTTTCACTTGGAGACCTTTTTCTACATTTTGTTTTGGTCAGAAGAGAAACCAAAATACAGAATATTTTTTTTTTTTCCAGAATGAAAAGTTCCAGAATCTCTATCTGGAATTAACTAAAACAATCTTCAATATTTCCAAGAAAAACAAAATGTTTTGTTTCAAAATATTATCACTTCTCATGCCCTTCTGTAACACCAAAGCATCATTTCTAAAATGGTGTTTTTAAAACAAATAGAAATAAGTTACATAAAATTTAGTTTTTTCTGCAGAAAACAAGATTTTAGTCAAAGTCTGAAGCTTCACTGATGGAAAAATGCAGTGAAGGATCTTAGACCAGTTCTAATAAAGGCAGTGAACTGTATAGGATTGAAAACATGAACAGACTTTAAGTCCAGAGAACAATTATAACAAAAAAAAAAAAAAAAAAGAATAGTTACACATTCCTACACACATAAACTTTTTGTTTGTTTGTTTTTAAATGCACAACTGGAAGCCCACTGCAACCAGAACCGACAGAGTTTGGTAGCCCAACTCTCACACAAGGTTTTCAAACTTTCTAGTGTGAGAGCATTACATTCACTGCATCTTTTCAGGACAGTTGTGGGGCTGAGGGAAAACTAAATATCACCCTCCAACTGCAGGCACAGACCTTGCAGCTCCTTGCTGAAGGTGATGTGGCCACATCCTCCACCTGCTGAAACGGCCCAGTGGTTGAGTTTTAATGAGCTGCTCTCCTTTGCATAATATCAAGGCAAATCAGTGCTCACATCTCACATGTTTCATTGTGCTGCTCCTGCAGGTCGAGCTCACAGAGATAGAGATGTCAGAGGGAGGCACTGCAATCCCCAAATCATTGAAGCCAACAGGAATTTTGCCACTGACTTCAAAGCTAAGGTCTCTATCAATAAATGTTAAGGATTTATGAGCAAAGTCCTTAATGACTTCAAGGGAAACAAGGTTCTTATGAAATCTTCATCTTTTCTCAGAATACACATTGTTAAAATCTTGTCAGCTCCCGTACAAAGGATGGAGGGTGCCAACTGCAGCACGTGGGGAGCAAAATCGAAAGTTTTTTGTTGTGTGCTGTGTGTGTCGGTGTGTTCCTGTGTTCCTGCACCTCCCAGCTACTGATATACAGGGGATTTTTCTTCCTTCAAACTGTGACAATAAAATGATTACCCCACCACAGTTTAGCATAATGGTTCAGAAATGCTCATGGCATATTGCAGAGTTAAAGTGGAAATTATTAGGTAGCTCTTCTTTGTTATAATAATGATCACTCCACAAATAAAAGCTCTTCTCCCAAAGGTACTGCAA